GCTCAAGTGGTAGAGCGCTAGCCTTGAGCTGAAGAGCTGAGGGACAGTGCCCAGGCCCAGAGTTCAGGCCCCACGACCGGACCCAAAATAATAATAATAACAATTAGCAAGCAGGGTACCAGTGACTTAGTCTGTAATCCCAGCGAATGAGCGTAAAGTAAGCAGATCACAGTTTGGGTGCATGACCTGGCAGAAAGCACGGCCCTAACCAACAGAAAACAGAGACATGGATGGCTTAAGTGGTAGAGTGCCAGTCTAGCAAGCTCAAGTTTCTTTGTTCAACCTCAGTCCCAAGGGTAGGGATGGGTCAAAACAGCAGAATTCAGGGCTGGAAAAGCAGCTCATCAGTAGAGCACCTGCCTGCAGTAGGGTTTCTTTGGGACTAGATACCAAACTTCTTAACAGAAGGGAGAAATAAGCCAGGAACCATTATGTCCAGACTGAAGGAGAGGTGAAGAGTGAGGATCTCTGCCCATGAGGTTAGACAACAGAGCATAAATAAATCACATACCATTCTTCCTGATCCCATGCCCTGGCAGACATTACTAGTCACATACCATTCTTTCTGCTCCTGTACCATGGCAGACATTACTTCCCAGCACAGTGCTCCAGGTAGACACCATGATGGACCAGAGTAGAGCTCAAGCGTGCCCTACACGTATGTGACATTCCCTGATCGGCCCTGGGGGGACCCTGGGGTGCCCTAGCCTGGGCTCCAGCCCTCTTCCCTGGGTGGAGATGTCAGTCTCCAACTGGCAGGCAGAGCTGAGGAATGAATGCCTTTGCCTGGCTCAGCAGCAGGCCTTGGCCAGCAGCATCCCCCTCCCTGTAGTCGGCCTGTGTCCTCGTCACCTCCCAGTGTCCCCTGTGCAGCTGCACAAAGGTGTGGCAGGGAAAATGGGCAGTGACAGAGGAAACGTGTGTACCTGATGTCACCTGAGGTGCCCTTTTGGAGTGACAGAGCCACGGGTGTCCCTTGAGACTGAAATTTAACAATAAGTGAAACAATTGTATCACTAACATAAGCAGAACAGCTACACTGTGTGTGTGTGTGTGTGTGTGTGTGTGTGTGTGTGTGTGTGTACTGGGGCAGAACTCAGGGCCTCAGGCTCCTCGCTTGGCTCTTTCTACTCAAGGTTGGCCGTCTATCACTTGAGCCACATTTTTTTTTCTTGCTGGTTCACTGGAAATAAGATTCTCCTGGACATTTCTGTCCAGGCTGGCTTTGAACCACAATCCCCAGAGCTCAGCCTCCTGAGTAGCTAGGATTACAGGCGTGACCACGAGTAGGAGGTATCTATACCTCTGGCACGTTCCATCCCTTCCCGGCCCTGTTCAGGGGTGGAGCTGGTCTCCGTCACTGGCCAAGGAAACAGGCTCACAAGAGAAAGCTCGCAAACCCAGGGCTGCGTGGGCCTGGGCGCACGGGGCTCTTTGCTGCTTGCTTGTTGGTTCTGAGCGTTGGCTGTCTGGGACCCAGCTCTTCCCCGCTGGGAGAGCCTCCACACCTCAGTTTCCTCATCTGTGTGGGTGTGGTGCCCTGGCCCACCAGCAGCAGGAAGCACTCAGCTGGGCCGCCGTGTCTCCCGCTGTCCCAGGCCCTGGCCTGCAGGCCAAACCAGGCCACCTGTCCACGTCCTCACCTCCAGCCCTGGTCTGCACGTGTTGTTGGGGTTCTAAGGCTCAGGCCGCGCTCCCCCACTCTCTCGGCAGGCTGCAAGGCTCACAGGTACCCCGGATCAGTACTGTCCAGATCCCCAACCCCGGGGAGGGCACTGCCCCCCGCCACCGACGCTACTGCCCGTTCCGGGTGCGGTTTGAGGATGAGACCCTGCGAGACTCAGAGCGCAGATACTGGGAGCGGAACTGTGCGGGTAAGGAGCGGGACCCTGACGGCCGTCTCGGCACGGGCAGAAGCCAGGGCTCCAGGCCCGGGAACGGCCCGGACCCCCTGCCCAGAGCATGCAGGTGACTGATGGTGAGTTCAAGGCTGAGATTGCGCGCATGCATGCACACACACACACAGTAGTGAGGCCCAGGGAGAAACAATCTCCGCTCCACCCAGGGCAATACATTGCCCGCGGAAACTTCCAGAAGTATCTTCCTCCCATGTCTGCAGGGAGATGCCCGGGATGGTCGGGAAGAAGAGATGGCACCCTGCGCCTCCAGGGCCCAGGCAGAACTGGCACTCAGCCCTTGGGGGCTGGGGCGATCTTCAGCCTTGACACAATGACTGACAGACAACACACACACACACACACACACACACACACACACACACACAC